TGTTAGAAATTGATTGCTTCGGTGCTACCCTTGTTGATTTGGGAATCAGTATCTGGATCCACTTTATATTCCTGAAGACTTTTGATCAACCTTTGATAACTGTGATGAGTCACTAAACTAAGTACTGAATTGGGTTGTGAATTGCAGAATTATTGAGGAATGAATTGAACTTCTATGACAAGAAATGGACCAAACTTCTATGGTAAAGTTAGTTGGCATTTGAAATAAATATGTTGGCGACCTATTGTGAAGAAGGAAATTGTTGAATTTGTGTCTAAATGTTTTCGGTGCCAACAAGTCAAAGTCGAATAACAGGTATTGGCAGAACTCCTTCGACCTCTCTCCATTTCGGGACGGAAATAGGAATGTGTGGCTACGAATTTCATTGTGGGGTTACCTTGAGCACCCAAGATATAAGTTCCGTTTGCGTTATTGTATGAAGAGTTACTAAGTTTGCCCATTTCCTCCCTGTAAAATTTTCATATGATGTTTGCAAACTAGCCACTGTTTACATCAATAAGATTGCTAGTTTGCATAGGGTCCCAGTATCTATTATTTTAGATAGGAATCCTAAAATACGTTTGAATTTTGACAAGCCTTCGAGAGGCAATGGGAACTGAATTGTGAGTCAGCGCTACTTTCCATCTGCAAATTGATGTATAATCAGAAAGAACTTTTGGAAGAAATGCTCCAAATATATGCAGTAGATTTTTCAGGGAATTTGGAAGATCTATCCATTGTTGGCAGACCTTGATTACAACCATAGCTTACACTCTAGTTTTGGTGTGACACCATACAAACCTTGTATGGAGGGAAAACGGTAAGTCTCTGACTGTTTGAGAATAGAGTGTTGCTTGATTTTGAAACTAAGTAAACGACTATCAAAAAGGATTAGAACCGTTGAATGAAAAGTGTTTCGAATTGTGTTCGACTAAAGGCGAAATAAGTTTGGAGGACCAAACTTCCTAAAGGGGGGAAGACTGTGATTACCCTGTTCCGTACTATGCTAATTGGTCCTTATTATGAATATGATTATGTGTTTGATATGTTTATGTGTACCGTTTATGTGAAAATATGTGGTTTTGAATTTCTATCTGTTCACCGTAGGAATATATGTTTGATTATCTGCTTTGGAAATTAAATTGAAGGCCTTATCGGCCACGAAACCCGAAATTGACTATACCATTGTGATTAGCGTAATTTTTAGAACCTACGGTGAAATTTGATTGAAAATTGATTTGGATCAGATTAAATTGATTTAATTGATGAATTAGTGCCCAATTATTTATTATTATTATTAAACTGATTTAGTGGGACTTGTATAAAAAAAGGGCAATACACACTCAATTCCTCTCTTAGTTTCATCTTTTGGCTGATTTAGCTCTCTAAAGGGGGAGAGACCCGAAATTAGGGAGAGAGAGGGGAGAAAATCTATGTTTTGGTCTTGAAGCTTGGAAGTCTTGAAGTTAAACTCAAGAATTAACCATAGATTGGGAAGATTAGGCTTCTAGGTAAGCAATTGATTTTGAATTCATGAGTTTAATGGGTAATATTGTGAATTCAAGTTTGATTAATGGTTAAGAAATGGAATTGTGTTGTATTTGATGGATTTGAAGTCCATGTGTGCATGCATGTAGAGAATTGCTATGAAATTGCATAATCTAGCATGTAATATATGAATTGTGAAGAATTGAGCATTGGAGCATACATGCAAGCATGGTTTTGTTAATTTTCATGTTTATGAGCATCATTGGTGCTATTTGAAATGGGAATGAGGTCAAAAATGGACATCCATGTTGATTTATGGAAGATATGAAGCCTATGTAAATTTTGAATGCATGAACCTTGAGTTTACAAAGAAATGTTGATTAATTTGGAAGAATTGGGACATGATTTTGAGCAATTGACCTCACCTTGCTTATATACTCATGTTATATAATGTGTTTGCATGCTTTGGAACCAAATTTATGGGTTTTGAACCTTGAAAGGTCGAAATTGAGCTCAAGAACAATTCTGGATTTTCCAGAATTTATGATGTCTGCTCGAGCGTGGGAATCGCCGCTCAAGCGGGGAATACGTGCTCCCAAAACTTTTTACAGACATGGCGTCCGCTCGAGCAAGGAAGTTCACGCTCGAGCGGGGAGCTATGTAGGATGACCTTCTGCTCGAGCGTCCGAGTTCGTGCTCGAGCGTAGAATTGATGTAACCAGTACTTTTGCAGGCCTCAAGGGTCCGCTCGAGCGGGAAAGTCCACGCTCGAGCGGGGGACACTGTTTCAGAAATTTTGAAAAGACATTGTGTGTTTCATTTTCTATTCTCTTTCACTTCCAAGTACTCTTAGGCATGCATTGAGCATTGTAATTGAGTTAAAAAGATAAGAATGACGCCTAAAGAGGAAAATGTGAATTTAGAATGGATCGAATTGTTTGTGACCCTTTTGTGTTCATGGAATGTGTAGGGTCGAGCTCCAGGGCAAACCAACCAACCAATCACTGTGAGTAATATCTCAACAAAGATATCTGAAATATGTTGTTGTCCAAATTACTTACTTCTATGTAAGTTTTATAAGTTCGTTGATTCGATTGGTGGACAATGTTGCTATGCCAAGTAAATGGGCCAGAGGCCGTTTTGACAAGAATGGATGAATGGACCAGAGGCCGTTTTGACATGAATGAATGGGCTAGAGGCCGTTTTGACATGAATGAATGGGCCAAAGGCCAGTTTGTCACGAATGAGAGAATGAATGGACCAAAGGCCAGTCTGACATGAATGATAAAATGAATGGGCCAAAGACCAGTCTGACATGAATGATAGTCTGACATGAATAATGGTCTGACGAGAATGAATGGACCAGAGGCCGTTGGATATGAATGAATGGGCCAAAGGCCAGTTTGACATGAAAGATAGAATGAATGGGCCAAAGGCCAGTTTGACCTGAAAGGAATGGCTGGGCCAAAGGCCAGTTTGACCTGAAAGGTATGAATGGGCCAAAGGCCAGTTTGACATGAATAGATTGGGCCCGAGGCCGTCCGATGTGTTTGGAACCGCAGTTATTTGACCTACGTACGAATATATGTATGTATTAGATAAAAATATGAATTGAGCCTAAGGCCGTTTGTTGTATATTGTTCCAATGTATCTCCTTTATTTGATATTATTCACTAGGCTATCACTCACGCTTATTCGTGTGTCTGTAGGTGAGCCAAGGGCGGTCCAAACCCAGCCTCAGTGAAGTTTGTGTAGAACAACCGAGGTTTTGAAGAGTCAGCCTTACGTCTCACGCACGAGACTCGTCTTTGCCCTTTTACTATCTTATGTTATTTTGTCATGTTGATTTATGTTGTATATATAGTTTCGATTGACTGAACTAGACTTGATAGATCCTATATGTACAGAGCTTTGTATTAGTACATGTTTTGATGTGAGTTATTAATACATGTATGTATGGTTTGTTATGATGTGCCATATAAGCACAGTTCTATGGACAAAGTTTTAAATTGCTTCCGTTTGGCCCCCATTAACTCTGTTAAAATACGTTTCGTTTGGTTTGGTTTGAGGCCGTAGGTAATCTCATGATTACTGGCTGGTTATGTCCTTAACCCACGGAGGCGAGTTCGGGTCATGACAGAGAGAGACCAAGATCGATAGAGAGAGAAAAAAAAAACCTCCGATTTACGGAAATGCCGGTGGCAGTGGCCGTAGCGGTCGCCATGGCGGTGGCGATGTTAGACGGTGGTAAGCACCGGAGGCCACCGACGCTTGGGTGGTCAGCGGGGGTCAAGATTGGTGGTGACTATTCTGTGTGCGTATGAGAGACAACAGAGAGAGAGGCGGTGAGAAACAGAGAAGAGGGGGACCGATGGTAATAAAATTTTCAACCTTTAGCGACTAACTGTTATTTGTCGATAAAATTTACAATAACCTAAATTTTACACCATTTTTCTGAAACGTTACACCTTTTTTGAAAAATTTCTAAACTTATACCTTTTCATTGAAATACTTACACCATTTTCTGAAAGTTTATACCTTTTCGTCCAAACACTTACACCATTTTCTGAAAGTTTACACATTGTTCTGAATGTTTATACCTTTTCGTCAAAATACTTACACCAGTTTCTTAAAGTTTTTCACATTTTACACCTTTTATGACCTTTTATGAAATTATTAATATATTATATTATTTAATTAATTTACCTGCAAGGTGACCTGTTTAGCAGGTCACCAATGTGTAAACTTTCAAAAAAATTCGTATAACTCAATACATAAAAGGTGTAAATGCAAATAAAAATGGTGTAAATGCCTTGCATACCATATTCAAGGCACACCTAAGAAAAGTCCTTTAGTCAAATATGACAAAATGTCATATTTAATTTATAATCATTTTTTTTTTCTCACAAAAGTCAAAAAAAGTCAAAAAGTCTATTCTAAACGAGACTTATTAACCCTAAATTAAGATAATAAAAAAATTAACCCACATCTCAAACGAGGACTTAGAAAATATAAAAATAATAATTATTATATTATTAAAAAATTACTAAAAATTAAATCAAACAAACGAGGGGTGTTTATGTGTTAAGAAATCATAGAGGTCTTTTGGCGACAAACTAAAGTTTTTTTTAATTTTTTAAATTTTTTTTAATAAAAAAGGCCAATATTTTTGTCAAAAAAAAATTAATTTTTTATGAACTCCTGAAACACTCCACAATAATTAGACGCACCGCATCAAATGTGAGAATTAAAAACAAATAAAAAGTCAGAACAGACAAATGATAATGATACCTAAAAAAATATTACCCTAAATAAATTATCAAAATTTTTATTAAATCTCCCATAAACACTCCACAATAATTAGACGCACCGCATCAAGTGTGAGAATTAAAAACAAATAAAAAGTCAGAACAGGCAAAGAAAAATACTACCTAAGAAAATATTACCCCAAACAAATTATCAAAATTTTTATTAAATCTGTCACAGGGTCTGAGACGCACACAAAACTCATGTTAAACAAAACTCTAAATGATCATCAATTGATCTTCCCTATGTACCACCCCACCTCGTCTTTCTCGGCTCCCTCACGATTCTTACTTACAGCCGAAGCAAATCAAAGTCCACTCTCTCTCTCTCTCTCTCCTTCTCTTCGACGATCAATCCAAATGCTTGAGAGAAAATAACGCTTCACACAAAAAGAATTGACCTACTACTACCAGTGAAGCATTAAGCAATCATATTCATATTCATGGGCGGCGACCTAGCCTCCTCTCTCATCTCCTCTTCCGGTACTCTCTCTCTCTCTCTCTCTCTCTCTCTCTCTATAGATATATATAGTGAATTATATTTCATAACAAATAACCTCCTAATTTCTTATGCAAATATAGTATTCAGGGGGGAATTCGTAATTTCTCAAACCTCAGGGGGCATCTGTAATTTGGCCAAACCTCGAGGGGTGTATATGTAATTTGCCCAATAAATTATCAAAATTTTTATTAAATCTCCCTTAAACACTCCACAATAATTAGACGCACCGCATCAAGTGTGAGAATTAAAAACAAATAAAAAGTCAGAACAGGCAAAGAAAAAATAGTACCTAAGAAAATATTACCCCAAACAAATTATCAAAATTTTTATTAAATCTGTCACAGGGTCTGAGACGCACGCAAAACTCATGTTAAACAAAACTCCAAATGATCATCAATTGATCTTCCCTATGTACCACCCCACCTCGTCTTTCTCTGCTCCCTCACGATTCTTACTTACAGCCGAAGCAAATCAAAGTCCACTCTCTCTCTCTCTCTCCTTCTCTTCGACGATCAATCCAAATGCTTGAGAGAGAATAGCGCTTCACACAAAAAGAATTGACCTACTACTACCAGTGAAGCATTAAGCAATCATATTCATATTCATGGGCGGCGACCTAGCCTCCTCTCTCATCTCCTCTTCCGGTACTCTCTCTCTCTCTCTCTCTCTCTCTCTCTCTCTCTATAGATATATATAGTGAATTCGGAATTTGAACTTGCAGAAGAGGAATCGTTGCTGGAGCAAGAGTTTCCAGAACTATCACTTGGATTACCCCCTGTTCTCGGGTACTACTACTACTAGATTTTTTTTTTTTTTTTTCTAATTTTTTAAGGCGTGATGTTTACAGCTGCATTGTGTTTCGATGAATCAGGGACGATGGTCTGAGCGCCAATATGGAGAATAGTGGTGAGAACGGGGTGGTGTTTGGGGAATTTGATGACGTGGGTCGTCGAATTTCTTCGACTTCTTTGGATTTCAAGGCCGATCAAAGGAGGAGACGCAGTGTTTACAGGGATGTTTTGAACAGTTACGATGAATCGTGGCCTCGGGACTTGATTTCGGAGAATTTGTACGAGGCCAAAAGTGAAATTCTGAGGTATCTTTACTAATTAGCTCATATGGGTTTAGGGTTTATGCTTTGTTTGTTGTCTTATCAATCTATTGTTTTGCTTGAAGAATTGCTGGTGTATTTGAGTTGTGTCATGGAGGAAGCTTTGATTGAACTATAGATTATTATACTATTGTTGTGGATTCTGTATCTGATCTTGTGAATAAGAAACCCTTGGTCTTCTTCAGATAGTCATGTGTGGTGTGTGGTGTGAGTTTAATTCCAGCTACAAGGCGTTTCTTTTTTTCTTTTCATATATTATTGTAAGCTAAAGAAGTAATTGGAGTTTTGAGAACCAAAAATTAGCCAGGATAAATATTGCTATGTTGCTATGGAACTGAAGTTAATAATTCATGTGGATAGATACTAGTTTCATGAATGTTACGACCTTGCTTTGATATCATTTGATGAATTGGAACTACCAAATTGATGATTGTTGTCGTAACTATCCTAAACTAGACTAGGTAGTTTCTTTGGACCGGTGTAGTAATAAAACTGATAGCTTGTGGACGGTTGATGTTTCTAATAGAGTCCATGTATTTTTGATTGCCTTTAATTTAAGAAGATTGTATAGTCTTCAATTCAACTACTTCACCTGAAATGATGCAGTTGTGTACTCTTGACAGCTATATCCCTGGAGCATGGATTGAGAAGGTGGGTGGCATGAAGTTGAGTGACTATGATGTCCCAAATACAACCTCACTCTTATTGATTGGTCCAAAAGGATCTGGAAAAAGCAGTCTTGTCAACAAAATTTCAAGGGTGTTTGAAGATGACCAGTTTGCATCAGACAGGGCCCAAGTTTCATGTAGCCGTTATTGTGTTTGTTGTTCATTCTAATTTGTGAATCATGTCCAATGCTGTCCATTTTACTTTATTAAAGTTTATTTCACTGCTAAGTTGTTCATTTTACTTTATAAAAGTTTCATCAAGCTTACTTGTTCCAGATAATTCATCTGTTGGAGATGGGACCTACTTTCTCCAGGAGTATATGATTCCAAGAGGTTCAACTTCTTTCTGTTTATTTGACACTCGCTGTTTGTCTGATGATTCATCAAAAAACATGGAAATGCTGAAGCATTGGATGACAAAAGGTGTTCGTCATGGAGAACTGGTTGTCAGGTTATAATTACTTGACAAAGTTTTTATTTTGGCATTTATAATCTTGCCTATTTTGAATCTTGTTGCTTCTCTACTTTACTTCAGGGACTCTGACAGTTCAACTTTAAAGACCAGAATGATGTGCAAAGCTCGTCAGAGTGGTTACTACTCTAGTGAGATCCGGATGGTTAATTTTGTTATATTTGTTGTTAATGGGCTTTCAGTTCTGAAATCCTTGGACTCTGATGATGAAGCAGAGAAAAACTATACTCAATTAATTGCCACAACATTCAACTGCCCATTCTTGTCATTCAAAGGTACTAAGGCATCCATAATTTTTGTTTTAAAAAATTTAACACTGACTTCATTAACTTTTTCAATATTGCTCATCTTATGTGTTTTTTCATAAGTGGAATAGTATTTTATTCGAGGAAGGAATATGCAAAATGAAGTAGAATTCAACACAATGCAATGAGACTTTTCGGTTCCGGGTATAATGTTTAATTTTTGGTAAAATTTGTAAAACCTTGAATTGCATTTCAAACTGTTCACTGAATACAATTGTATTGCAACCTTGCCTGTCAGCCTACGTAAGATTAAAAGATGGCCATGATCTCACCTTTAATTCATGTTGGATACTAAAACACTGCTTGGATGAAATTAACACCTGGACAAACACTGTTATATGGTTTGAAGCTAAATATGCTACCTGGACCTCCTCAACCAAAGCCAAGTAATCTGAAGATGGAAACCAGACTGGCTAGATGATTGATACTCTCTGCTGATGAAAAAGAAAAAAAAAAGGGAGATAAAAAGGAAAAAGGAAAACAAGATAAAAATTACTTGGCATAACTCTGTTTTTCCTATTTTACCATTTTGGCGTTGACGAGGAGGGGGCATGGTGGTTAATTATACTTAATTCCACTGTATTTTTGTATTTCCTTTTCACAGATGACAAGCCTGTAATTGTTGTCACACATGGAGATTTACTTTCAATTCCTGAGCGTGCTCGGGTTCGCGTGCATTTGGGAGAGCTGCTGGGTATTCCTCCAACTACACAAATTTTTGATATCCCAGGTGACCCTTCAAAATTTTTAACTCTTTCCTCTGCTGTCAAATTTGGTTTTAGATGTACTACCTTCCACCTTCAAGTGATTAATCATAATTCCTTGTGCTTGCAGAAAACCGTGATCTAACAACCAAGTTGGTGATAGTAGACATGCTACGTTATTCGCTAGAGCATGCCGATAGAAATCTTCCTGGAAAGAAATGGTTTTTGGGCAAGGTTTGGTCTTTCTTGCAAGATTTACCTTCCGTGATACTTTTCTTTTTTGGGTTACTTCTGCATATTTCTTTTTCCCGATTCTACCTTTTAGAATTGAGCTTTTAAAACTATATCATGGTCGTTACTTTAGGTATGAATGAAATTTGGCACTTTTTCATCTGCCAGAGATATCATGGTTGTGTGATCCCTGCTATTATGACAAAATCATCTTTGGTTACATGCTTTCTTCTTTAAAGTAAACGAGTTAACTCCCTTTGGCAACCAACCCTCCTGAATATTGTCGTAATTGATTGTTATTGTGATTGGTTGTCAAACTGTTTACAATATTCCAAAAATAGTACACATAATATCAATATAACAGCATATGATCAATACATGCAGTTCATATTATTTTTCCCCCTCTGCTCCACTTTTAAATCTTCAGTTAGCCAATCCCTGATTGTTGCAGTATATATGATTTAGTCTTTGTTTTGTGTTTTCTGAAATAAGGTGATTTCAATAATTCTTGTATTATATTATTTACCTGGTAACTCACATATTGAAAATTTTGATTATGCCTAGGAATTAGTTCATAATGAAATAGATTTTGTAAGAGAGAGTCAATCTGGTTTCTCTTCAGGAGCACATTACTGGATAAGCGTAACACCTGAATAAACCAGTCTAGCATGATGCCCAAGAAATCCTAGGTTCTGTCTATAGGTGTCATAGGAAATTGGAGAAGTCCTAGGTGTAGACGTTAAAGCTAGCAAATCCTCCAGGTTGGTAATGACGAGGAAGATCTAGTCATAGTCATTCAGTGTGTATGTGAAATGGTAGACCGGAATACTCCATTGGTTGCTATTTTCTTTAATGGATTTGCACGCATGTGAAACTCTCCACAAAAGCAAGTAATGTATATTGAAGAATGTACACTTGTCTCATACCAGCTTTATTTCACTTGAATGGTCACATGCTCATTGATGTGGAGTTCGATGTGGCACAAAGTTATAGGCTTATAGCACTAGCTGGCGCAGTGGCCTTCCTGAGAATATGGAAGAATTTATTTTATTCATTTGTCTAAGCCGCGTATTTAATTGCATGCTCTGTGTCCAATTTACAATTTTTCTTAAAAATCCAGTGATAACAAAATGAATGGTTTTGTTTAAATGTGTTGTTCAGGGCTGAACATTCTTGAAACACTTTATAAATATCACACAAATATGTACATAAATAAATTTTCATGTTTGTTTAAGTGATGCATTATTGGTGGATCAACTATAAATACACAGCAGGAGACTCGGCCAATGAAGCTTCCATGATTGCGATTAACTGACATTTCATGTGGCATAATTATTTCCATTGGCATGTGTGCTGACTATAATAGTTACATGCAGGTTTGTACAGTATATCTACGAGCGTGTCTATTCATGTTAATTATCCTGGGGATTGCCATTATGACAGCCCATATTCGTGGTACCGATACCCATCATGCCCAGATGCGTCGTGCCTCTCCGGCCCATCATGCCAATGCACATCATGGCCCTCCGCCCCTGCAGGCCCAGACACATCGGTCCCCTCTGGCCCAGCAGGCCCAGACGCATCGGTCCCCTCCGCCCCAGCAGGCCCAGACACATTGTGCTCCTCCGCCCCAGCAGGCCAAGAAGCGCCGTACCCCTCCGCCGAGTACTACTATGGATTGGCATGCAATCCGCCACCTGTGGCTGGGATCAGAGTATGATTAACTTGTGTGTCTATTTATGTTCATAAAATCAAAAAACATCTCACGGATGAATGTGTATATGTTTGGAAGCGTATATGTTTGTGATCTGTGCATACGTTCTTGAAATCAGGAATACTTTCATTTCACTCTTGTATTATTATGTCGCTCTTATTTCCCTTTTTTCTTTTTCTTGTCAGTACTGTTTAATTGGTATTACTTGGTATGCCATAATTGTAAATTTGTGCTGCATGAGATCATTTCTATAGGTAGATAAGAAGGAAATAATGGGAAGCATAAAGTGAGGCTGTTAATTGTTTGTCATATTTGCAGTGCTTGTGTTACGTTTGGGTAGTCAAGCAAGTAAATGAGTTATTTATTTATTTTTCTAAGAAATGCGTATTCACCGTGTTATTAACAGTTATTTTTTTTATATAATATTTTGGAAACAAAAATCATGGAAAGTTTAGGAGTCTCGTTTGTTAATGTTCTTATTTTTTGTTTTTTATTTTGTGTTCGTTTTTATTTTATTTTATTTTTTTAGAAAATTGAAAACTAAAGCTTGTTTGAAAAAATAATCCTCGTTTGTTAAAAATGAAATTGATTTCAAAAATTTTTAAGAACACAAAAAAGTTGTTTTTATTTGTTTTTGAAACAAGTTTTCATTTTCTTCCCTCACTCCACCTTTGCCCTCTACGGACCACCACCACCAGCACCTTCTACTACCGGTGGGTGACTAGTTCCGGCCAACCTCCGGCGACTTTTGTGTGTGGACAGTTCTTATCGTAATTTTTGGTCACCTTTTGACGTCTTTTTAGCCATCTTGTGTCCTCCAATGACATTCAATCACTAACTAGTCACCACATCTGTCCACTCTCCATCTCTAGCCACCAAATCAGGTAACTCATCAAATATATTTCTTTATTTTTATTTTTATTTTTATTTGTTTTCAAAATATTTTTGTGCACCAAACAATTTTTTTTTTTTTTTTCTGTGAACTAAAAGCGTTATCAAACGAGGCACTAGAAGCACATTTATTGTTTTCATTTTTGTGCGAAAATTATTTCAAAATTTTTCGTTTGCTAAAAATGTGTTTTGAGAAAATGTGTATATATATGCTTCCACAAACAGTCTACATAAACTCCAACCTCCCCTTCAAATCTTCAGTTGAGAAAAGCTTAATAATCCTCGTCCACTGCTAGTAACAGTAAGCATGAACAAAGACAGATTTGATTTGATCTTGAGTGATATTAGAGACATGAATGCAGTTGTCAAGCAAAAGAAGTAATATCACAACTCTTTTCTTTTCCAGATTTAAATGTCTCGGTCTTCAGAGATTTAAATGTCTCGGTCTTCAGAGATGCCAACAACATGGGGGTGCATTTGTAAACTATGAATGTCTATCAATATTATGTGGGTCAAACTCTCATACAAAATGCATTAAAAATGGAAACTTTTTTCCTGGTTTAACTAAAGATTGCAAAAACTCATTGACCTAACGAAGGACATCAAAGTATGGAGTCGCTCCCAAAAAGAATCAGCTTTAATATGAATGGAGAGGATATTCTTATCCTAAATCAATTGGATTACTTGACATTTGAAATCGAAAGACTTCGAGCTGTAAACAAACACAGTGCCCATGCCATGACAATAATGAAACTCTGATAAAAGCAGAATAATAAAACCAATACCATGTAATCAAGTGATAATTAGCAAGGCAAAACATATGAGAAACTTCAATAACAGGGTGTAATGAAAACTTTTTGTTGGCAAAAGAGACCTTCTCTTTATGCTACAGATGGTTAAGTAGGGGTCGAGAAAAATGAAAAACAAATAAAATCAAATACCTTGACTCTCTCACATAGCATGGTGCAGTTAAAAAATGGCCGTTACCAAATTTGTTGGCAAAAGAGAGGCTTCTTTGTGCTAAAGACGTCAAGTGGTGGTCAAATAAAAACAAAAATTAAAACCCTCAACCATCTTACTGTTTCAGACTCAATTGGTAGTCCTGCACCACCAAACAACAAACAAAACTCTGAGCAAAACCCACATCTCTCCAAATCATCATGAGACCTGCTTCTGAATTGTCCTCCTTGTGCCTGTGCCAAAAGACAGCCAAAGAGCCGAAGAAAGGCATTGCAAAAAAGAAGGGCAATTTTGCCAGGAAAAACAAATACATTAGTGGTCTTTGGATTAAAATTAGCCTCCAGTTGTAGTAGAGTTCGGGATGCTCTGAAAAAATTTTGCCCTTGCAGCAGGTTCAGTTGAAAAGCGACCCAAGACAGCAACTGTAGCTGTGTTACTTCCAAACTTCTCAATTCCTCTAGAGATCATACAAGTGTGGTTAGCCTCTACCACCACCATTACATCTCCACCAAGCAGCAATGAAGCTGTCTCAGCTATTTGTCTGGTGAGCCTTTCCTGTACTTGGAGCTTGAAACCATGGAAATGCACTATTGACTGCAAAAAAGACTTCCGAATGGGGTTGATTGCTTCAGTACAGATGCATCCTATATGCACGACACCATGAAAGGGAAGTAGATGATGTTCACATTGAGACCAGAATGACAAATTTAGCTCGGAATGGATGTGTTCGTCGCAGTGACTGACATTCCCGTTGGATATAAGAGCATCCATTTGACCAAAAACAAACCCATTCAACTTCATTTCCAAATTGGAATTTTTAAAATTCATCAGCCACTTCACAAAACGAGTAGGAGTTCCTAGAAGCTCGTTCCTTGATGGATCTTCACCCAAAGACTGAAGAATTGAAGCTACTGCCAGAGTCATTCCTGAATTGGAAGGTCCCACCTTAGAGATAGCCTGAGATGGGCACCAACATTTGTCAGCAGCGTCTCTGGGATGGGTTTTCTCAACATCAATGCCTCTGAATTTTAAAAGACTCAGAAAATCACCCCAAATATCTGCTTTCTCGTTTTCAAAGACTCCTGAACCTGAAGTAACCAGCACCTTTACCCATCCTTGGTGATTTAGGTCAAGAAAAGCTGATTCAAAATTTGGGAAGTGAATGTGTAAACACTGGAGAACGACAGCAACACCTGTTGGCTTGATTCCTAGCTGCAGAGCCGAACACACTTCATCTGCTAGACGCTGTGGTTCTTGTAGCCGTTTTGCAAAGACATCAGCCACCCGAGAGAGCTTACTTAGGCCTACGACACGCTGCCCAGATGGTACATACCCAACATGGCACTTAACCTGGAATGGAAGCAAGCAAGACTCACAGTATGAGAAGAGATCAAGATCTCTAACTACAACAAGCCCACCCACCCCTCCAGCATGACCAATTCCACTTTCCAGTCCAGCTTCGGGGAATAAAGCACCTTGGACAATATCTTTCACCTTTTGTCGGTAACCTGAAAAAGTAGAAAAGGGTATTTTCAATCACTGAACTAGCTGATAGCTCGAAAATTTGCAAGCTTCAAACAGAAAAATAGTAAATGTGGAGATTATGCTAACAGCCTACGTGGACAAGGCATTAAAAAAATAGAAAGTATAATCACCTAAAATTGTGTCATGCTGTCATATTGATCTTCTCTCTAACGTCGTGTTTGGGTGGGAGATTTGGGAAGGGATTTAGAGAGGGGAAAAGAAAAGATGTGTGAAACTAGGTATACTTTATTTACATTTCACCTACTTTTTCTTTTTCCATTTCCAAATCTCTTCCCAAATTTTCCAACCAAACATCACATAAAACAAAGAAATAGAACACATAAACTCTCTTCACGTTACAAATTTTCTGAGTTCAGTATTCTTGTCCCTTTACATATTAAAGAAGAAGAAAAGTGTCAATTTAAAATATTTCCACAGACAAAGCTGTGGATGCTTCTCTGGAAGGCAGATACATATTGCCAAACTATTCACTTCATAATAATTAGATGCAAATTAAAATAGTCTATTTAACGCCATGGGTTTAATTGCAAACATGGCCACATGACTAAATTATGAGTTTGTACAAGTTTTTAATCCACTTTATGAGGCCCAGTGTTCATTGTGAGCACCATACAGGTAACGGGAACACTTCGCAACACCACTCAACTTCACTGAGAACTAAATTGAAGGGAATTCCTAGGGCCCCGTAACAACAATGACATATTTTTGCTCAACCATTGGTTCATAGTATTGTCAAACAGGCTCATATAGGAGACACAAAAGACAGAATCCTGATTTTGATGGTATGCATGTGTATGATCCAGTCAAACTCAAAAAACTGATGCTGAAGCTAAAACATTCAAGAACTTACATAATGAATGACAAATACATGCACGCACACCGGCAAGCATATTTAAGTAATCGAGCAAAACAATCACAAATCATGAAACCATAAAACATAAGTATTCGTCAAAAGTTTGAATTGTTTTGATATTAAGATTTTGATAATCTCTGATTGCATAAAGCTTACCAGTTACCAACAACTAATCTTCAGCAACAAGCATTTTGGTAAGCTATAAAACACGTATACAACAATTAATCCAGTACATAGATAAATTAGCATATAAAGCCATTAGATCCGAGAAAAATGAATCTATGCCATAACAATAATCAAATGATTCAAAAGGACAAAGAGGGACACACCTCTGGTTCCTTCTCGAAGGGCCTTGGCAACGCGAAGAGGGGTCTTTCGGAGACCTTCTCGATTGACATCTTCACCCAAACCTTGCAAGAGAACTTTTACAGCATCCTCAATGGCCAAGGTCTCTGGCTCTTGCTCAAATCCCAGCTCAATGCAACCCCCTAGGTGGTTCACTCGATTCTCTAGCTCCACATTGAAGTGCCCCTCATTCAAAGCGCCCATTGACAGACCAAAAACAAGACAAAATCCAACACACACACACCCCGACCCAGAAACCACAAATCAGAGATTCACAACAACAAATCAACCGAATCGAGTTGAATCAAAATCAAATCCTTTTAAAGAAGTCTAAAAACCAAAAACCCAATTAGGAATCAGACAAAACATTAGAAATCTAAAAGACCCAGATGCGGAATGATATGAAAGACACAAATGAAGGTCTCAGAAGAATAAAGGGCAGATATTGAGATATGGATGAACAGAGGAAGGGCAGAGAGAATATTATAGTTGGGGGATGGGGTTGAATTGAATTGTGTGGAGGCTTTCTTTTCTTTTCTTTCTTTTACGTTTGAGGGACCCAACAAATTTGGTAGCAAAGAAAGAATTTTTGCGTATGGCTTTTTGTAAGGGAGTGGTGGGGAAGATCTGGGTCGTTTAGCACAATGAATTTTTGGATCTTTTTGAAGTGCTTTTACGTTAACAAACGTTGATGGTGATAGAGGGTATGTTGGTCAACAGAGAGAGAGTGGGTGGAGGGAGGAAGGAAGGAGGGGGGGTTGGTGGTGGTGGTGGTGGCCGCCGCGAGAGACGATCTGATCTGACTTTTTAAGAAATCATGTGTTGGTCAGTTGGATGGGAATGGGATGGACCACGATGCCTCCCTATATAAAAATGGGTTAGGAGATCGAAGGGTACTTGCCACCAACCCAACACCACCATGACTTCGGAGACTTCAAAACACACACCCACCCCCAAAAAACATTAAAAATAAAAAATAAAAAATAAAAACTAAAAACTAAAAATTATGGAGGTCTAAGGAAAGTCATTGTGGAATTATTTAAATATAATAATATTGAGATTTATAAATAAAAAAAAAATTTGGTTCTAATTGGATGTGTGAATAGGTTATTTTAATAATTTTTTGATTTTTTATAAAATGATGTGTAAAAAATAGAGAGAGTGATGTGATAATTTATAATGATTTTTTAATTTTTTGACTAAAATTTCAAATTATCAAACGGGGCTAAATTATGCATTAATTTATTATGAATTTAATTCTCTTACTATGTGATTGTAACTAAATTGTAGAATTTAAATTATTAATCAATGGTACTTTTCTTAATTATGTTTTAAATTTTTTTTAAGATTCTTCATATTAAAATTTTATAATATAAAGGATATGAAATATTTTTTTAGTAGTTGGGATCCCTCAAATTTTTACAGAGAAATTTCGAAGCATAGCAATTTCAATCCAGAAAAATTTTGAAACACAGAAAATTTTGTGAAATTTCTGTAATTTAAAATTTCTCTAGTTTGAAAATTATCTGATTTGCTCACAAATTTCTCTGTGTTTTAATTAATTTTATCTGATTTGCTCACAATTTTCTCTATGTTTTGAAGAAATTAGAGAAAATCAAACTACTCACAAACCAATTTTTCTATAATTTTTATAAGAAAACACCATGCTAAGTTCATCAAAGAACTTAAAATACAAAATCTAATTACAATTTAAAAAATAGCAAACACTACACATTCCAAAAGATTAAAAATAAAATTCAAAGTTACAAATTTAGTGAAAATCAAACAAGTAACATAAATTAGTGAGAATTTAATGTGGGCAAGAAAAATTCAAATGTCAAAGACAATTTCGAGAGAAAATCAAAGAGACAACTAGTTAGAGAAAATCAAGCAAGGCACAGAGAGAAAGAGAGTCCAATGTGTTTAAAAAAAATTAATCTAAAGGGGATATCTTAGTGCTAGAGAAAATTCATCTCAAAGAAAAAATTACACCCAAGGAGACAACTAATCAGTGAAAATTAAATAAGTAACCTAAATTTTAGTGAGAGTTTAATGTTTTTAGGGAAAATTCAAATGCCAGAGAAAGTTCAGCTTAAGGAACAACTAAACAGTGAAAATCAAACAAATGGCATGAATTAGGGGTTGTTTGGGCTGATCTAAATAAGTGTACTTTTTGACTTTTTATAAAATATGGGTTGGGTATGGGTTGGACTTAAAGTGATGTGATAGAGAGGTAATGTGACTTAAAATAGGATAGTGACTTTTTGGCTTTTTAACTTTTTTAAATTATGACAAACAAGACTTTAGTAGGAGTTTAATGTGGTCAGGGAAAATTAAAATGCCAAACAAAATTGGAAAAAAAAAAATCAAAGAGACAACTAGTTATAGAAAATCAAGTAAGGCCATAGAGTAAAGTGAACCCAATGTATTTAGAGAAAATTGTGATGCTAGAGAAAATCCATCTCAAGAGAAAAATTACACACAATGAGACAACTAACTAGTGAAAATCAAACAAACAACATAATTTGGTGGGTAGGGAAATTCAGATGCCAAAGAAAATCAATCAAGACACATAAGTTAATGTGATTATAATTGTGGTCAGAGAAAATTCGGATTCTAGAGAAAATTCATCACATGGAGTAAACTAGCTAATGAAAATCAAACAAACAATATAAATTGCAATAGTAGTGAAAATTCATCTCAACCAAACTAATGGCAAAGAAATTATAGATAAATTTATCTCAACTAAACTACTAGTTTCAACAAGATCAAGCAAGCGCATAAAGTAAAGTGAATCTAATGTCATCATAAAAAAATCAGATGCAGGAGAAAATTATAGATAGAATCTAATGTCATCAGAAAAAAAATTCATTGTTTGACTATTTTCCAAAATTATACCTCATCTTTAACATCTTTCTAAGTGACTCACAATCCTTTTGTTACAAAGTTTTCCTTTTTTTAAAACTCATAAATATATATATATATATATATATATATATATATTTCATTAGAATTAGGAAATGTGGACAAAGATTAATGGAGGAAATTGCTAAAAAGAAAGGATAATCTGTTTTCCTATTTTCTTCTAATGTCATATAGTTTTACTACAAGTAAATAGAAATATTTTGAGGGGAGCAAAAAGAATCCTTCTTATGATGTTTTGAGCTTAAGATCAAAAACAATTTAACATATTTCCACAACAAAATCCCCACCGCAACCCCATCCTCTACCCAATCCCAATCTCAAACCCAAACCTAACCACAATCTAAAATTTATGTGTCATCCATGAACTAAAGGCACAGTGCATCAATCAAATCACATAACTCCTAATAGTTGCAGTAATTGGTGGCCTTTCTTTATTGAAATTTCAAATAGAAAATATAGAGACGAAAAATTGATATATGTATATATATAGATATATATATATATAGAGAGAGATATATATAGATATATATATATATATATATAGAGAGAGAGAGAGAGAGAGAGAGAAAGAATATAGAGAGAGTGAGGGAGAGAAAGAGAGAGATTTGGTATATGTATATATATATATAGAAAGAGAGAGGGGGAGAAAGAAAGATGGTATAACATATACAAAAAAATATATTTTTTTTAAATCTCTCTCATTATTAAAAATTAGAGAGAGACATTAGACTAATTTTTCTTATTTTATAATTTTTTTTTTTTTGGGGTTACGATGGTACTTCACATTACTCACATATGCATTTTTCTTTGGGTATTTACGTTATAGCCTATTAGGTGACCCACATGGAAACACTAACGATAAAGCAATTGTTTCGTGAGTATTGTGAATAATTTCTATGGCTTGTTTGGCTTTATAAGTGAGGAGATTAGATTAATAGTGAAAGAGAGTTACATAGAGAATATTTGATTATGGAAGGTTGTGAAAGGGACTAGCAATTCCCCCTTTTTGGTGGGACTAGTATGAAAGGAAAAAATAATACTTCGTAGCTCAAAATTCCTTTAGCCCGAGTGGCTCGACTGCCCAGAACAACGTCGTTTTGGGGGGAAAAAAAAATTTCCCTTTTATTTCTCCAAAACATAGGGAGGAAGAGAAAATAAGAGAAAAAGAAACAGAGAAAAGAGAGAGGAAGAGGAACACACACACACACACACACACAGAGGCTCCACCCATCACCGGCGCCATCACTAACGCCGCCATCCTCTGTGTGTATACACAGATCTGTATAGATCTGCGTACTTCTCTCTCTCTCTCTCTCTGTAACTGTAACAACCCCGATCTATGATTAACCGTTAAACCATGATTAAGAATATTTAATGAGTAATTAAGATGAAATTCTGAATTAATTACGTGTGTTGTATTATTTGTGTCTCTATCTGTCTAACGTAGAAAGATCTATTCATGTTTATGTTTCGTTCTGCGAATTGAAGGCCTTATCGGTATCTGATCACGAAATTAACTTGATTTATGTATTGTTCGGACTTGTTTAGAATTTTATGGTAAGTTTGATTGAAAATCGTTTCAGGACGAGTAAATTAGAATAAGGCCCATATGAACTCATTAGTTCACTTTACACTCTCATATCACCCTTCCTTGAAGACAAAAACGTGAGAGAAAGAGAGAGAGAGGGCAAGAATTGAGATCAAACCTTGAAGTTTGGTAGGAAATTGTTTGGAAATTGGAGAATTGCTCAAATCATCATCAAACCCCAAAGAATTGAAGACTCTAAGTGAGAATTTTATCCTTAAGCTTTGCATTCTAGACATTTGTGGAAGAATTCAAGAGATTAAGGTGGTTAAACATGAGAATTGAGCTAAGGAAGTAGAAAAGATGAGCATCCCATGCATACATGTATATTTCATGGAGTTTTGCTCTTGTTTGCAAAAGAATTCCCTCATGCATGTACTAAGTCTCACTTGATTTTGGGAATTCATCGTAACTTACAACATTTAAATTCATTTGATCATGTTTTAAAAGCTTAGAAGTCAACTCAATTCATGCATGTTAACTTCAAGTTACATTCTTTAAGTTTCAAGTTGGTTTTTAAGCAATTGGTATACTTTTGAGCTTTGATTTTGCGAAATGATTTTGAATTCACCATGTTTTACAAGTCTACACATGTTTTCTTAAGTTTTTGGCCCAAAAGAACATGATTTGTAGCTTTGCATTTGAGTTTTGGACTTAGAGCATCAATCTGGAAATTTCAAAATTTGTCTCTCCGCTCAAGTGACCACACATATTTTCTTGCACTGCCGCTTGAGCGAAGAAGTCTACACTCGAGCATAAAATGCATGCCCCCAGAAGTTTCACATTTTGCAGACCGCTCAAGCGACAAGAGTTGCACTCGAGCGAAGACCTCAGTCTCACACTCAAGCAACCATAAAGCGTGCGTCGAGCAGAAAAATCAGGCAACCAGTACTTTTATAAAGTTTACAGATCGTTCAAGTGAAAGAAGTTGCGCTCGAGCGACCGCTCACATGCGTGGACGTTCGCTCGAGCAAGACCCATGTTTTTAACATTTTTTTGACTATGTTTCCAAGTACATTTTAGCATCCTCATTGCATTTTAGGCATTCTTAAACCCTAATTAAGACATAATAATGAGGATAAGACATAGAAACACACTAAGAACAAAATAAAACAAGTTAAGCTCTATCCGGGTGTGTGTTCCAATATGTGTGTATGTTCTGCTCGTGTAGGTCACGCGTCACAAGTTATCTGATTTGTCTGCTTTGTCTGTTCTACAACTGCAAGTGGAGCCCTCTGTGAGTAATGACTCTATAAAGTTATGTTTAATTTTAAATATTTTCTGATGATATGAAATGATCGATTTTTTAAAATGCTATGTTTTGTATGAATGAATGATTATTCAAGTTTCTAAAATGTATTTGTGGCAT